TGAATTCTGAGACATGACGGAGCGACAGAGAGAGCAGATAAAAACACTCACTCTCTTAGCGGATGTTAAAGCCAGCAGCAGGGCTGTTTAAAGAGACAAGAATTTAAGTGGAACCTGATCCAAAGACTCAAATGAAGCATTTGATCAGGACCTGCAGGACCAGTATTAAATCCCACAGGAACAAGTGGGTGTGAGACAGGCCTGCGTCTCTGTACACCTTTTAGAAAACGCTTCATTGGCGGATGATTAAAACCTGTTCTGTCTCAGAAACCTTCGTGTCAGGAAGAGATGGCTGCAGCGTACGTTTTAAACGTGCTGGATGCAAATTTCTGTCCATCAGCTGCTGCAGAAAGAACAGCATGCCACCTAATGGACATGAGGTGGCCTCTACACCCTTTTCTGTACACCAGCACTGAAAAGCTGTCCGCTTTGATGTGTACATCGCTGTGGTAGATGCAACACGTGAAATCTGAATTGCGCGCATTACATCCTGTGGGCGGCCCATCCTCTCTAAGTGGATTTGTTCAATGGCCAGACCCACAGGTGCTGGCCTATTTCTGGGTAACTCCTGGTCGCTCCTCCTGCCTGGAGGAGAGAGTCCTCCCTCCACGGCAGGTTCCACGAGCGCCCTGATAACAAATGTCGTAGGCCTGGGAACCATGATGTGTTCACGCACTTGGGGCAGAGGAGTTGCAAGTCCCTCCTCCTGAGCTCGGTTCAGAAAACCGTGATATCAGAGGGAGAGAAGGTGAAAAGGCATTACGACCACAGGCTGTGAGCAGGCACGTCCACCAGCGGTGGATCGTCCCATGGCTCCACGATAATTATAATTGACATTGAACGTTCTCTCGTGTGAATCAAAAACTCTGATGATTCTGCAGCTCAAGGTCAGTGTTGAGTCACATTCACAGATCCCGTGCGACACTCCAAAAACATTTAAATGAGCTGCTGTGTGGAGAGCCACAGCGGCCCCACAGCTTGTTCAATGTGTGTGACGTAGGTCTGCTGACGGAAAACAGCTGATATCACTCAACCGGTTCACATGAGTTGCACTGCTGCCACCTGTCTGTACAAGCTGCTCAGCAGCAGCAGGTGTCCAGATAAAGCAGAATTAAAGTGGCTCGGGCGCATAATGGAGTGTTGTTTCTCACAGCTCAGAAATTGACAATCTAGAATAAATCTCATCTTCCAGTTCATTGGGACCAGGAAGTGATGAGAGAGACCTTGCGTTTTCCTCTCCTTCTGAGACTCTGGAAATTACATTTAAAACAGAATTTCCTGAGCTTCTGCTAGAGGGGACGAGATCTGTTCATAAATGACAGAAAAAACGTCACAGAGTTCCTCCACACCGGGGTTTGAGCTGAACTGCAGCGTGAATCCCGGATGAAAACGGTTCGCCCAGCCGTCTGGAAGCGCGCGTTCATTGCCACCCGTTTATAAGCTATAAAGCGGGCACGCATTTATGCTGTGAAACTCACATACATGCTGATGTGAGCTGGAGCGCGCTGAGTGAGAGAAAAAACAAGCGCGTCCCCGAGCATGCAAGACGTTGTGTGCTGCTGATGCTGCGGGAATCAGCTCATGTGTTGTGTTCACGTTGTGTGCAGCTGCTCCGTGTAACGCTCGGGAAGCGGGTGTACATATGAGCCGACGTGCCCTGAAGGGTCGTGTGTGTGCGTCCTCATTCATGTGACGCCTTAAGCCAGGATTGCCGCGGGGGCGCGCGTTGGCACTGGTGCGGTCAGGAAGCAGCGCGCGGCATCGGTGGAGCAAGGTTACCACTGGCTCGGTCTGCAGAAACACGTTCATTGTTTGCTGCGAATAACGTGAGCTTTTGAGTGATTCAACGAGCTGCAATATTAATTCAGAAAACCTTCTTCGAGGATGTATGAGCCGGGCCGCTGTGAGGCTTGTGGAGCTGCTGACGCCGCGGGAGCGCGCGTTGGCACTGGAGCGGTCAGGAAGCAGCGCGCGGCATCGGTGAAACAAGGCTACCACTGGCTCGGTCTGCAGAAACACGTTCATTCTTGGCTGCAAGTCACGTGAACTTCAGAGTGATTCCACGATCTGCAGTATTAATTCAGAAAACCTTCTTCGAGGATGAAAGAGCAGAGCCGCTGTGAGGCTTGTGAAACTGCTAACGCCGCGGGAGCGCACGTTGACACCACTGCAATGACAAAACGTGTGTCGCTTCTGCCAAGAGCGAGATACGTTGCTGAGCTCGTACCGTGGTCTCACGTGAACGTTGGCGTGAACGGCGGGCGCTGAGAGCTCATGCCGCGGGGGCGCGCATCGGCACCGCTGACAGTGAATGAAAACAACCTTAAAAAAGTATCCTAGGAACCTTAAAAAAGGCTCATTCGTAATGAGTGTGTGTGATGGGGCCGCTTGTCAGATAAACATGCTGACAGCCTGGCTAAAGACACTTCAAAAATGATGTTATTTCACAGTGTCATCAACACACCTCCAGCGACCGGACACCTGATTACCTTCCGTTGAGCTCTGTTTGTTGTCCTGGAGGGCCCCCTGTTGGCGAAGTCCGGGAAAACAAATGAACTTCCGGCTGCCGGGGACGTCTGACGGGAGGGGCTGGCGTAGCAGAGCTGGGGAGGCGTTGAGCAGCCGTGGAGCATCTTGAAATGATCTCTCGCTGATGAAAAGAGGATCACCAACAAAACTCCTGCAGCTCTCCTGAGAGGAAGGTGGAGTGACGAGCCAGGAGAACCTCTGGGACCTCGTTCTCCGGCTGCGATGGGGGGGGGGCAGACAGCAAAGAGGCGCACCGGTTGAGGATGACGTCAGCTGCCCTGTAGACGGAGCGTACTGCAGGGGCCGGCAGCGTCGTTAGCAAGCAGCCGCTACGAGCGGAGTGAGCCGAAGGACAGAGGGCCACCGTCTCTTCCCGCCTCTGAACGTGTACGCCAAAAGCGTAACGTGTTGTAAACAACCTTCCCGCCGGATCATCCGAACTGGCGGGAAAGGCGTAGGACGTAAAAAAGGGTCCCTTCATGTCAGTCGCCTCCTGGGTTACGCCGGGCAACCCCTGAGGGTGCCGTCGGCCGGGAGCGGTGTGATCGCCGATGCGAAATGAGCCCCACTCAGCCCCCCTCCACCGACACTATGCTCCCCAGGATGGAATGAGCAACGGGGGGCTGCAGCTGAACGCCGCCTGTCCCGGAGGAACCATCCGATTCGCTCCGAGGGTCGGCGATAAAAGGAAAATTACAAGATGGCATTGTCCAGCGTGTAGTGACCTGTCACTGAGAAATATTCCTCGGCGCTTACCTTGAAATAAGACTGCTCGTCAGCTTCTCCTCGGGGAAGAGAACTCACCGGACGACCGGAGGTCGACTGCCGGGCCAAGCATCCTTAACAAAGGTTGGTCATCTACACAATTTTCCTTCTTTGTTCTTCTGACAGTGCTATTAGCTCGCTGAAGGAAAAATGGGAGCCGATTTCCCGCTCTTAACGTAATTTATACGGACCAGGTGGGGCCCACACAGCAGGTGGGCGTGGACTAAATTTTTCAGTGCAAATGCTCCGCATAACGGGATAAACCCACTAAGCGACAGCTCTTAAAGGGCGAAGCCTATACGAAATAGAACTTTAGTCCACGCCCACCTGCTGTGTGGGCCTCTCCTCGGTCCATATAAATTACGGTGAGACCGGGTAATCGGCTACCATTTTTCTTCAGCAAGCAACCAGCACTGCTTTTACAAGAACACGATGACCAGCACCAGCACCATCCGCCTGTGGCCATCCTGCAAGACAGGCTACATGCTGAGCTTCGACCGGCACGACATCTGTGAAGGATGCCTGGGTCCCCGCCACGCCGACCTCGTCTCCTCCTGCTGTCTCTGTGACCTCCTCCCTCCTGAGGAGAGTCAGAGGCAAGCAGCCTTGTTCAAGGCTAACATCGAGGAGTGCCTCTCCGTGACGAGGGACTGTTCACTGGACGACGCCATCACCTTTTTTGACGCTGAGTCACGGAGCAAATTGGATGATTCCTCCAAAAAAGGCGACGTCAGCAGCAGCCCCGCTGCTCATTCCCTCCTAGAGAGCGTAGTGTTGGAACGGGGGGCCGAGCGGATGCTCACCACCCCCGGGCCTTTCTGCATCAGCGAACACACCGCTCCCAGCCGTCAGTGCCCTCCTCTCAGAGCTGCCCGGCATAATCCAGGAGGCGGCTGACACGAAGGGACTTTCCGTCCCTCTCCTCCCCCTGCCCAGATCAGATGATCTAGCGGGAAGGTTTGGCTCCACCCCGGCTCGCCACCCTGACCCCATCTGACTTCGTTTCCCAGCAGTGACGTCCTACTGGAACAAGGTCCCACTGTGCATGCCCGCCTCACAGCACCTCAGCAGCCAAACTATTTTTGAAATTCAGCTGAATTGACCATTAAAGTGCATTTTTTTAAGGAATAGTTCAACTGAGGCACACCTTTACTATAATTTCAAGCAAACAAATAATTGTTTTAAGTGTTAATCTTGTCAAATCCTTGTTATAAGTCCTCCCGTGCATGCCCCAGCAGCTGCCATTTGGCAGCCAATCGATTTTTGGCACAACACCGGCCCACATTTCTGGGTTGTCAGTGGTGACGCATAACAAACCTGATGCATCAGCGGTGATGCATAATAGATGCGACGTATACGGCGAAGCGACATAATTATGGATTTTTCCACTTTATTACACACATATTTGGACTGATACGACTTATAGGGCGGTGCGACATGTACGGCAGAAAATACTGTATGCAGTAATATAGAAAATTATAAAGGGTTCACAAACTTTCAAGCACCACTGTATATATTGGTAAAGATCCACAAATGTAAAGCAAAAACATCTTAACAGTAGTCCAGTTGTTTTTTCATTTTATTTTTTATCTTGGTATCAGATAAAAAGGTACAGTAATAACAGTAACAATGTTGTTGGGGTAGATAAACATTATACAAAAATAATTGGTAAATAATAATAATAAATTATTGTAAGTTAGACCTACTAGCTGTGGCTTTGTCCTGCAAGGCCTCTTGTCTGTAATCCATGTCTTTGGGGAAACTGTTCGCCACCATCTTTGCTGAATCTTTCTGTCGTTGTTCCCTGAAGCAGAACGGTGGAAGATCAGTGACAACGAGCAGAACAAAATGGAGGAGATTGTTACAAATCAAGTAGAAAATAGCCTATAGGTACAGGTGAACACTTTCAGCATCTAAATGCAAACACTGACTTTATATTTACAGTAAATGTGAGCGATGATCAGGATTTCATTTAACTATATTATTCCAAAAACAGAAAAAGTCTTTACACACTGAGCAGGGAACGGCACGTCCATTAAAATTAAAAACACAACCCCAATTCCAAAACACTTGGGACGATGTGTAAAATATAAATAACTGAGTACAATAATTTCCAGGGCTCCTGGCTGACGTTGCACGTTCGTGGTGAGACGTATTGTGTCACATCCTGTTTGTCTGTAGGTAGCTTGAGTGAACTGTTTGCTTGAGTTGTCTGTTTTCTGGATTTATCTGTCTTTTGCACAGTTTTTCATTCTAGTTCACAAACACACTTAGTACAGTTGTTTTCTACTGTTGGATAGTGCTTAAAACACCTTTTATTTTTCAACACTTCTCGGTTTTTATTGGTGTATTTGGCTCTGCTAGCTTCTGCTAGCGTCAGCTTAGCATGGCTGCTGCTTCTCTCCGTGCTTCCTCTGTTTTCTCTTGCTCCGTGTGTCAGATGTTTAGCTACTCCTCTGCCTCCTTTAGTGGTAATGATACATGTAACAAATGTAGTCTTATGGTAGCTTTGGAGGAGAGGCTGTCTGAACTGGAAGCTCGGCTCTGCGCTGAAGAAAAACCAGTAGCTAGCCAGGTCCCCTTAGACAGCGCGGAACCACAGAAGCTAGCTCCTGTTAGCGGTCCTCCAGCAGACCCTGAGCAGCCGGGACCCCAGGCCGGCTGGGTGACGTTCCGGAGCCAGCGTAGTGTTAAGGCTAAGCCCCCAGTTCACCACCGACCCGGTCACGTTTCTTATCGATTTTTCCTCGCTCAGTGACACACCCGCTGAGAAACAGACCCTGGTTATTGGAAGCTCCATAGTCTGAAACATGGCTTTAGGGACTCCAGTGGCCATAGTCAAATGCATTCCGGGGGCCAGAGCGGGCGACATAGAATCATATTTGAAACTGTTGACTAAGGCTAAGGCTTAATATAGTAAGATTGTTATTCACGTCGGCGGTAATGACACCCGGTTATGCCAATCGGAGGTCACTAAAATTAATGTTGCTTCGGTTTGTGACTTTGCTAAAACCATGTCGGACTCCGTAGTTTTCTCTGGCCCCCTCCCCAACCTGACCAACGATGACATGTTTAGCCGTATGTCGTCGTTTAACCGCTGGGTGTCTAGGTGGTGTTCTGACAACGACGTGGGCTACATAGATAACTGGAGTTCTTTCTGGGGAAAACCTGGTCTGATGCGGAGAGATGGCATCCATCCCACTTTGTACGGAGCTGCTCTTCTTTCTAGAAATATGGCTGATTTTGTTTATCCCCCAAATTATTGACAACCCAGGGTCCAGTCCAGGAAGCAGAGTTGTAGTCCTCCAAACCTCTCTGCTGCTTCTCCTCTGTTACCCACCCACACCCACATTGAAATAGTGTCAACTCACCCACGGCTCAAATTAAATAAACAAAAAAATCAGCTCTAAAAATATAAACCATAAAAATCTGATTAAAATAAACACAGTTACTTTACCAGAGCAAAATCATAAAATCATTAAATGTGGATTATTGAACATTAGATCTATTTCCACTAAATCCCTGTTTGTTAATGAACTGATAACTGATCATCATATTGATTTATTCTGTCTGACAGAAACTTGGCTACAACAGGAGGATTTTGTTGGTATAAATGAATCCACTCCTGTTAATTATTTAAATGTTCATGTTCCTAGAACAACTGGCCGAGGTGGAGGAGTAGCTTCTATTTTTCAGTCAGGATTATTGATTAATGCCAAACCAGTTATTAGTTATGATTCTTTTGAATCGCTGTCCCTCAGTCTTTCTCATCCAAAATGGAAATCAGAAAAGCCACTTTTACTAGTTGTTATATATCGCCCACTAGGCGCTTACTCTAAGTTTTTTTCTGAATTCTCAGAATTCTTAACTGACTTACTATTAAATACTGATAAAATCATCATAATGGGTGATTTCAATATTCATGTAGATGTTGAAAGTGATAGCTTAAATAGCTAGCTTGATAGCTTCTGCCAAGATGGCCGCGCTCAGAGCAGTGTTGCAACTTCACAGGCTCCCGGTACCATCCCAGTTTTTAGAAGTTTTGATATTGACTCTGTGCCTGACTCCGCGCGATTTATGCGTGTGAACTATAGCCGAACCGAACTGATGAGAATAGGAGCAGATTTGCCACGAAATATAGCAGAAATCAGCAACAAACTCAAAACTACGCTCGGCAGAATGCAGATCTTAAAGTCATCTACCTGGAAGCTGCAGCAGAGGCGTTCCAGCGGGCAGAAGAGGAAGCGCTGCTCCCAGCTTAAGGGGAGAGGATGCCGGGCGGGGGTTATGGTGAGGCTAAGAGCTAACGCTAAAGCCGGTAAACTTCCCATGCCGTCTCTCTTTCTGTCGAATGTCCGCTCGTTGGACAACAAGATGGATTTACTTCATCTGAGAGCGGGCGCCTCAGAAGAGATGAAGAAATGTGCGGTGCTTTGCCTTAAGGAAACGTGGATTACAAGCGAAACGCCGGACACAGTCTTCCAGCTGGATGACAGACTTTTTTTTCGAGCGGACCGCTGCAGCGAGCTAACGGGGAAATCACGGGGAGGCGGTGTGTGCATTTACGTGAGTAAAAGTTGGTGCACGAACTGTACTGTTGTAAATAGCTCATGCTCGAAGGCTTTGGAGCAAATAACAGTGAAATGTCGGCCACATTATCTACCCCGCGAGTTCACGGTGATTTTCATCTCTGTCGTTTACATTCCTACGGACGCTAATGCTAATGAATCACTGCAGGAGCTACATGATATCATCAGCTCGCTGCAGAACAAACACCCCGAGGCTCTTTATGTGGTAGCCGGAGACTTTAACCACGTGAATCTAAAGGACTGTCTCCCAAGCTTTAATCAACATGTGATAATTCCGACACGTGGAGACAAGACGCTGGACCGTGTTTACACGAACGTAAAAGATGCATACAAAGCCGAACCCCGCCCCCACCTAGGACTGTCAGACCATATCTCAATCGTCCTGGCTCCTGCTTACATGCCCCCGCTGAGACGCTCCAGACTGGTACAAAAGAAAGTTAAATGTTGGATCCAGGACAGTGGCTCCATACTGAGAGATTGTTTTGACCGAACAAGACTGGCAGATTTTCAGAGAAGCTGCTGAAAATGGAGGTTCGCTTGATCTTGACCAATACACATCCTCAGTTCTGGGTTACATTAGTACATGTACTGAAACCGTCTCGACTATCAGAAATGTTAAAAGCTACCCAACCAGAAAACCTTGGCTGAATGCAGAGGTGCGTACCCTGCTGGAAGCCAGGAACACTGCCTTCAGGTCTGGAAACTCAGAGGAGCTGAGTAGGACAAGAAAAGAGCTGGTTGCTGGTATTAAGAGTGCCAAGGCCACATATGCAAAGAGGATCGAGGGTCAATTCATCTCACAAGACCCTCGGAGCATGTGGAGGGGCATTAAGTGCATAACAGATTATAAAGGAAGGAGTGAACAATGCCCCAAAGACCCATCTCTGCCTGATGCCCTCAACAAGTTCTATGCACGCTTTGAAGACCCGAACAGACCACCCAGCACCAGACTCACCTCACCACCGGATGAAGAGCATCTCAGCGTGACCTCAGCAGAAGTAAGGAGTACTTTCAGGAGGATTAATCCGCACAAGGCAACTGGCCCAGACAACATCCCCGGAAAAGTGTTGAAGGTATGTGCTGATCAGCTCTGTGAGGTGCTGGCAGACATCTTTAACACCTCACTTACCCTGGAGACAGTTCCCACCTGCCTGAAGACTGCCACCATCATCCCAGTCCCAAAAAGCTCTACAGTGACTGGTCTGAATGACTATCGGCCAGTGGCCCTCACCCCGATAGTCGCTAAATGCTTCGAAAAACTGGTCATGACTCACATCAAAACAACCATCAACATCAACGAGGACCCTCATCAGTATGTATACCGTGAGAACCGATCAACAGAGGATGCCATCTCCTCTGTGGTCCACACTGCGCTCAACCCCCTGGAGCAGAAAAACTCTTACGTCCGAATGCTGTTTGTGGACTTCACATCCACCTTCAACACCATGATCCCCCAAACCCTGATGGACAAACTATCCACACTAGGACTAAGCCCCTCCATTTGCAACTGGGTACTAGACTTTTTAACAAACAGACCACAGTTAGTGAGGATCCACAACCTCTCCTCCTCCACCATAACCCTCAGCACTGGCTCTCCTCAGGGATGTGTGTTGAGCCCCCT